TGCGGCCTGCTGCTTTGAGGGCCTTAGAGTCACAAGAAAGCCATGATTCTCGACTCGCGGATAAACGGCCGAGAACCGCTGAAACCAGATCTCAGAAGACGGCCGAACAGCGCGAGTCTCGACTCGATGACGACCGTGTGAGACACGCCGAAGCCAGATCCGAAGAGACGGCGAACAGCGCGAATCTCGACTCGACAATATGCGGTCGAGAAACGCTGAGGCCAGATCTTATGAGACGGCCGAACAGCGGGCGTCTCGACTCGACAGCAGTCGAATGAGGACTGAGGCTTCACGAAGAGCGGAAACTGGTGGAGCGCATTCAGTACGGCTAACGTGATCGTGCTCGACATGTTCACGCTCGACAGACATCTAGGCGAGTAGATCTTCACCTCGCGGCATTGAACTACGATGCCCAGGTAGACTACTCGACCTATCCGAAGGTAGTAATCAGAAAGATGGATGTCGCATGTGGCAAGTGTCAAGCCAAGAAGTTCAGAGCCGAAACTCCTGGCATGTGCTGTTCCAGCGGCAGCGTCGACCTTCCGCCTCTACGTGAGCCGCCTGAGACGCTTCGTTCATACATGTCCGGCACCAGTGCTGTGTCCAGGCATTTCTTGTAAAACATCAGGAAGTACAATGCGTGCTTCCAGATGACGTCCTTCGGCGCTACGGTCGCCATGCCTGACGTTGAGGAACAGGGGGCTTCATGCCAACGTTTAAGGTGCAGGGACAGGTCTATCATAGAGTGGATCCCTGCTTCCTCATGGCAATGATAGCCCCAAGTTCTTGCAGCTGTACTTCGTCTGCGGCGAGCAGCTGCAAGCGGACCAACGTTGCGGCATTATCGGTGGCACAAGGCCGGACGTCGTGCTAGAGCTGCAAAGAATGCTGCATCAGCACAAAGACCTGTTGAAGGACTTCAAGACCAATTTGGACCAAATGCCTACAGACGAGTATAAGGTCGTTACCGTGCTGACAGGAGGCCTGTTGGTCAGCATGAACGGCGCTTCAACGCTTGTCTGTAAGCGAGATGGCAGTGGTCTTGGTTGGCGAAGACGACTGCGACGGGCGTGACATTATCATCCAAAAACGTTGCGAAACGTTGCAGCGCATCTCTGAAGCCCATAGGTCGTACGATGCCCTGCAGTACCCAATCATGTTCTGGGATGGGGGAGACGGGTATCACTTCGAACTATGGCAGAGGAATCCTAGCACTGGTGCCCCTACCAATAAGAAGGTATCGGCTATGGATTTCTATGCGCATCGAATGATGATAAGGTCCACGTCCGTCAACCACGTCGTGAAATGTTGCCAACTATTTCGCCAGTTCATCGTGGACATTTACACCAAGATTGAGAGTGAACGGCTCCTCTTCATTCGACGCAATCAGCGAAAGCTGCGTGCAGACGACTACATCCACCTACGGGATGCCGTGGCCGGAGATGGAAATGTCACTGACCTCGGGCAAACTGTCATACTACCATCCTCCTTCACGGGCGGCCCACGCCACATGCACGAGTACACTCAGGACGCAATGACCTGCGTTAGAGCGTACGGGCGTCCTGATCTGTTCATCACGTTCACGTGCAACCCGGCGTGGACCGAAATTGCGGAAGAGCTCTTCCCTGGTGAAGCGCCTTCTGACCGCCACGACATCACGGCGAGAGTCTTCAAACAGAAGCTCACGAAGCTTATAGACGATGCTAACGAAGAGCCATGTCTACGGAGACACTCGCTGCTGGATGTACACCGCCGAATGGCAGAAACGCGGTCTTCCGCATGCCCACATCTTAGTGTGGCTGAAGGAGGAAATATGCCCTGATCAGATCGACATCATCTCGGCGGAGCTTCCCAGTCGAGAAAAGGACCCTCTTCTATTCGATGTTGTCCTTAAAAACATGAGCCATGGGCCATGCGGACCACTAAATCCGAGGTCGCCTTGCATGAAGGACCGCACACCAAAAGGTACTCTCGGCACTGATCCGCGAAATCCAAACGGGGACTGATGGCTATCCTCTATATAGAAGGCGAAAGCCTGATGATGGAGGCCACACCGCCGTCATTCAAATGAAGGTGGACCATCAGAGCGTAGACGTCGTGGTGGACAACAGCTGGGTTGTGCCATACACTCCTTTGCTCTCGAAAATGTTTCGAGCACATATTAATGTGGAGTACTGTAATTCGGTGAAGTCGATTAAGTATATCTGCAAATATGTGAACGAGGAAAGTGACATGGCAATGTTCGGCCTCGAGCATGCCACTCTGCACCGTTTGATGAGATCGAACGATATTAAACGGGCAGGTACATAAGCAGCAACGAGGTAGTTTGGCGTATCCTGGGTTTCAGGATACACGAACATTACCCACCTGTCACCCATCTACATGTCCATCTAGAGAATGGACAACGCGTCTACTTCACGGCTGATAACGCGCGGCAAAGAGCTGCGCAACCACCTCCAACAACTTCGACAGCATTTTTCCTCTGTGCGAACATGATTCGTTCGCACGGACTTTGTTGTACTCAGAAGTTCCAAGATATTATACTTGGAACAAGTCAACAAAGAAGTGAGCCAGAAGGAAGCAAGGTGCCGAAGTTCCCGGATATGACGTTAGAGCAGCGGATGTGTTAGCACGTGCATATACTGTACACCCTAACCAAACCGGATGCTTCTACCTCAGATTGTTGCTTCACACAGTCCGAGGACCGACGTCATTTGCAGCGTTGAGGACTATTGATGGAGAGGTTTGTGAGACCTACAGAGAAGCATGCCAAAGACTTGGCTTGCTTGAAGATGATCAGCAATGGGACAGAACTCTCGCAGAAGCAGCTACGACAAGTTTCGCTGCTCAACTGCGAAGTCTATTCAGCATCATCTTGACAGCCTGTCAACAGTCAAATCCTTAAGCACTCTGGGAGAAGTACAAAGAGGAGCTCTGAGTGAAGACGTACTCAGAAAATGTCGTAGAGTGGCACCCTCTGCAGACGTCGGTTACTCTCCCCAGATATTCAACCGAGCGTTGATGCTGCTTGAGGATACGTGCGCGTCGACGACCGGTCAAACCCTCAGAGACCTCGGTTTGCCGTCACCAATACGCGAAGATGACCAGGCACTCGAAAGCGATGTTCTCCGAGAGAGGTCCTATGATGCCGATCAGCTGACCACATTTGTAGAGTCCAACAGACTTCTTCTTACGGAGGATCAAGAGTTGGTTTACCGTGCTGTTCTGGACACGATTTCTAGTGGCAAAGGTGGGCTACTCTTTCTCGACGCTCCGGGTGGAACAGGGAAAACGTTTCTCATCAATCTCCTACTTGCCGAGATTCGCAGACAAGGAGGAATCGCAGTAGCAGTGGCATCCTCGGGGATTGCCTCAACACTGCTAGAAGGAGGCCGAACTGCCCATTCAGCCTTCAAGCTTCCTCTGGATATTGCTCATGTAGAGTACCCAGTATGTGGGATAAGCAAAGGCACAAGGAAAGCCAAGGTGCCACAAGAAACCAAACTCATAGTTTGGGACGAATGCACCATGGCGCATAAGAAGTGCCTAGAAGCCCTTGACAACACACTACGGGACATACGAGAAAGCAACAGGCTGAGGTGGGGCCGTCGTGCTACTGGCAGGCGACTTTCGTCAAACTCTGCCAGTGATTCCGCGATCGACTCCAGCAGATGAGCTGGACGCTTGCCTCAAAGCTTCTCATCTCTGGAGACATGTTCGATCGCTGAATCTCACGACAAACATGCGAGTTCATCTCCTTGGCGATGAGGCTGCCCGAAGCTTTGCGTAACAGCTGTTGCTTCTTGGCGAAGGCAGTTTCGGTAGAACCAAGTTCTGGCTGGACTACCTTTCCTCCAGACTTCTGCAAAATGGTTCAATCGGTAGGAGAACTGATCGAAAAGGTCTTCTCAAACATTGCCACCAACTTCAGCAATGGGGAGTGGATTTGCGAGCGAGCAATTCTGGCACCCAAAAATGAGCAAGTGAATTCTATCAATGCTCAGATTCTAAACAGCTTAACTGGACCGGTGTCAACGTACACATCCGTTGATACGATGGTTCAGCGTGAACAGGCTGTTTACTTCCCCACTGAGTTCTTGATTTACTCGAGCCCAATGGAATACCACCTCACAGACTTGATCTGAAGGTTGGTTTGCCAATCACGCTCCTTCGTAACATCAACCCGCCGAAGATGTGCAATGATACAAGACTTTGCATCAGGGATCTCATGCCAAACGTCATAGTAGCGACCATATTGGCGGGGAAGTTCAAAGGCGAAGTCGTTCATATTCCACGAGTCCCTTTGGTCCCCTCCGATATGCCCTTTGACTTCAGGCGAGTGCAGTTTCCGGTCAGGCCTGCACTTGCTATGACGATCAACAAAGCACAAGTACAGTCTCTGCGAACAGTAGGAGTAGACCTGGAAACTCCCTGTTTTTCGCATGGTCAGCTGCACGTGGCGTGTTCGAGGGTCGGGAGTCCGGCGAACCTGTACATATATGCGCCCGAAGGGAGCACAGCTAACGTAGTGTATCCCAGGGCGCTAACATAATTGCATGCTGTAGTATAGCACAGTATTTATTCGTTGCATGCCATTCTACTGGAAAATCCAAAAAATTGGAAAATATAATATCCAAAAAATGGCAAAACGAAAGCTCAAAAAAACGGGGGCCAGCGGCGGTCAGGCCAGGTGGGTGGGACAAACAAGAAGCTGAACAGATCCGGTCGAGCTTCCTTCCTTACTGATGAGTTCCGGGAAAGCCTAGGACCTGTTTAGCCAAACTGTCTAAGGGTAGGAACGAAACGGTACAACTAGAGAGTCGAAGTTGTATTCCTCTTCTTGAGTAATACAACTTCGGCTTTTTTTGACCGAAGTGTATATGATCCCGGGCGGAGCTGGGGTATGTCAGCTAGTTTACTATAAAAAAAGTTGATTCCAAACAATATTTCGGAACACAAACAAGACTATCCTTTCTTGCAGATCATAATGAACTTTTTAGCCAAACCAGCACTCCTTCTTCAGCGAGTCAATCTATCTCACAAACTACTGTACAGAATATAAAAGAGCGGAAGAAAATGAAGGCAGAAGTATACGGAGATCTTCACTATCCTGTAAGCTACTAATTCTGCCGGAGATTATAATTATAAACCTACTTTAGCATGAGGATTTGAAAAAAGTAGTTCTTGATTTGAAGAGCCAGAAAATGAGAGCCGATAAACATGACGTATGTCATCCGTTCAAACTATAAAGCTTACAATTATCCTTTTTTCCAGCTTTCTGTCCTTCAGTGCGCAAAGGAGATTGTAGAAACTGCAGCCAGACACGATGTTTATACGCCAAGTATGATATAACCTATAACTGTTGAAGTACATTCTAGGTGATCGAGAATGCGCTTTCGAAACAATCCAATGGATTGGTGCACAAATTTTTCTCGGGCAAAGCTCCACTATCACAACAGGTACGAGCCAATGTTATTAAACATCGGTGGTAAGGAGTTTACTTTTCGAGGTCTTGGAAGAGCTGGATATTTTACTGGAGAAAATTCTTGATTACATGAAGAAAAATCTTACCAAATACACAATACTTTACGAAAGGAAAAAGAATGATGTAAGAATTCTACACGTTCTTTGATCATAAAACCTGGTCACTGTTCAATCTAATAAGATTGAATGAGATATGTTGTAAGCCACGCAGTTTTGTTAAGTGCTTTATTCGGTCTAACGTTTCGGCAAAAAAATGCCTTCTTCAGAGTCCTGAGATCAGCATGTTAAATAACCCCTATTTACAAAGTTTTAGCGAAATCCGAGCTTTTTCATTTGGGTTGTGTATTCTGGAATAATACCGAAAAAGCTAAATATCTATCATCTATTTTATGACTAGGAGACGCGAAACCGCATTGCGGACATTGTCTTAACAAGCTTGAGCTTGTTCTTCCCTGTTTCCAACGAGTGAATGAACCTGAACGAGATAAATAACAAGTATAAACCTGCTAAGTACACGATCAGGCTTGTTTAGACAATGTGTGCAATGCGGTCTCGCATCTCCTGGTCATAGAATGAATGATATATGTGTGTATGTGACTGTATGTCTGTATGTACGTATGTTCCGACTAGAACTTTTCGTTACTCAATCGATGCACCACACTTTGCAAACATACATTTCGAAGCGGGGCGGGTGTTCTAGGCTACTTTTTCGTTTCAATCGATGTCGATTTTATCGATTTTTTGCAAAGTTTGGGCTACGAGGCTGGAAGTTGGCACGGGGGTAAGTGATATGCTGACTACTATATTATTAACAGAGCCGAGCGGAGTCGACTTTGCCAGCTAGTTATAGGCTGCTGCATACGTGAGGCGCAGGATTCACAATGATGAAGATACGCGCGCGCAGCGTTCGCGCACGCTCAACTATTAGTGCTTCTGCGCCTTCGTCATGCTGCAGCCTTTACAATGAGGATGTTGCTAAGGACCTTGTTCGCGACATAGTAGGAAATTCGCTCCCGAATCATTCACCCCCTTTCGGGGAACTGCCATTGAATTTAATCGTCAAGCTGTTATTTATTTATTTATTTATTTATTTATTTAATACGCATAAGGCGCGCCCATACAACAGAAGAACGAAGCATCACACCAAACAACCAACAACAAGAAAAAAATAAAACAAAAAGGCAAACTCCCCACTGAATCAGTTCAAGTCCAGTCCGCAAAATCTTTCTGGGAATGGAAAGGGAGTGAGCTTGTTTAGACGTATATGAAGTCATCACAGGTATAGAGGTTCAATGGAGTCTGTCTCATGCCCCCTGCTCTTAGCAAAAAATGCTCTTACTCAACATAAGCAATTGTATATGTTGGAAGCAGGTGTATTGGTAGTAATATTGATAAAACCCGCCCAACCAAAACTCTGGGGAGAGAACAGAACTCCGATAGAAGTTGCACAATGCAAAAGTCTCAAGCCCAAACAAGCTAGCCCAAGCATAACTGAGGTGATAAGACGGAATCAGACCCAAACTAACGCGTGAGGCATGAAAGTGTTAGAAGAAAACCAAACAGAGAACGGCAATAATTTGAACCAAGGTCCAGTGAAGTGGTAGAGCCTGATCTAACATAAACTACAGTCCAACAAAGCATTCATTCCGCATCCCTCAACCACAATCAGCCCAGAGTAAGGATCAGCATGAGACAGGTAGAGTCCGTGCCATGAAACCGTCATACGAAAAAGATAGTGAATCGCATGGACAAGAGCGAGAATCTAAAAAGAAGACTATTGAGAGCTGAAAAACAAAATAAAAGAAAAAGAAGGAAAAAAAAAGAAGTGCAAAGAAGATCAAGCCTCAGAACCAAACCATGGGAGAACCATAACAACCATAAGCCCTAAAGACCTAAACCCTAAAAGAATCTGAACACAAATATTAGAAACGCAACGCAATCAAGAAGAAGTATCACCGCTCAAAAGTTGAGACAAATCAGTTTTTCTTAATTTTTCTTGAAGGCTTCACCGCCACGCACTGACACAATATCAACGGGTAAGCGCTGAAGCCATCTTGCACAGCGGAAGAACAGGTTTGAATATTCCAGACTGATGTTGCTTGATAGGTTTATAATGCAGATTGAAACCACCTAGCCACGTACCAGCAGGTTTGAAGATCCAAAATTTGCTTGCTTTCAATTTTATTTCCATGCGAAGAATACGAAAACAAAAGACGAGGTCGGATATCATGCGTCTAATTCTGAGAGGAGTCAAGCCCAATTTATTAGAGCGTAGGTGACAGTCTGGAATATCAACTAGTGTTCCACCACTCGCACGACGAAAGACCAGGCGGGTAAAAGTGTGCTGAACTCTTTCAATCTTCATTATATCTTTTTTTCGGGAAGGAGTCCAAACTTGCGAACAGTATTCAAGATGTGCAATAACATACCGCTAGTCGTATGCACTCGCAGGAAATCTATATATAAATAAATTGAAACTCTGTAAATTTTTTCGTTAGTATGTGGTTTATAGACTTTTATGTGTTTGAACCGATGAGGTTCAAATTCGTCCCCTATAAATAAGGCACGGCGCACAAAATAGGCTCTTTTTGCGACGATTTGTTGAACCCTTTAATCGATTTATTGATTTGTTTACTTACATCGAGGGTTCACCAACCATTGTAGCGTCATTTCCTCTTAGTCATGTAAGTCGGGAGGTAAAGTTCATTTACATTTCTCGGCGAAAAGGATCCGGGTGTTACAAGTCAGCAAGGAAGACATGTCCTATCACATTTTCGGCGCAGATATGGAGAAGGGCGGTAAGTCCCAACGCGTTGAGATCAAGTAACCCAATTCCCAAGCGGGACCGGGGACGCCATTTAGTTAAACATACAGTTTTTGTTTCAACCCATAATAGGCCCAAATTGTGATAGCTCGCGTCCACTTTGCAACGGTCTACGCTCTATCACAATCGAACGCACCGCTCCGCAAAAATGTTGCCCATAAACCAGGTTGAAACAGTGTTCGCAAACTATGACCGCATTGCTTCGAACTTATAGGCCTGATTGCCGAAGTCTTTTTACTTCCATTTGTGGTACATAATATAATCTGTGTTTTGTGTATTGATGTTTAAGTTCGTGATTGAGACCGAATTCCTTTCAGATCAAACGTGAAGTGCTTAGCCTGCTGCTGACTGACTCGAGATATCTTCCAAAATCATGGGTAACACAGTACCAAGGTATGGTTTGTTATGAACTTATGGGACAGCTTTTTATTGAAAACATTGACTTAGCTGAATAATTCGCTTTCGGATGTGCAAGCAGAAAGCACTGCTTGAGGAGGCACATGTGTAGTCACAAGCCCAAAGGTGGTCTAAACATATTCACGACAATACGACCCACCGGTGGGTGGTACTTGTTCTGCTTCGGACGATACGACCCATCGATAGGTCGTATCGTCCAAAGCAGAAAAGCTCTAACTTTGTCAATTTACAATGAAATTGCGCTCGGTTCTGGCACATGACTGGGACACCTGGGCGAAACTCCAAGCAGAGTGGTGCGGGTTCGGGATCAGGGCCCGGCACGCGTTGGTTTGGAGGTTTTTAGAAAACGAAGTCCCCCATGACTTCGCGAAAATTTACGAAGTCCCTCTCGACGTGAAAATCAGTAGGGAAACCCTTATTCAACCAAAATTGCAACAAAAAAGCGAAAAAAGCGCATTTTGAGGGGTGGAGGACTATATGTCGCCGAATTTGGAAGAGTCCCGCGCGGATTCCCGGCAGGAACGCATGTCCGCGCATGTACAAGGGTGCGTATTTGTCGCAAATGACCGCGGGGACCGCCCTTTTTCGGCGACATATAGTCCTCCACCCCATTTTGAGGTATGTGATATAACAAAAAAGCAAAAAGAAAACATTTCAAGTCGATTTAAGGCTCTGCCATTGGGTATAGTACCATTTTGATGCTGGGAATGTCGAGAATTTCCTAGGCCAACCAAATCTGTAGCCTGAACAATCCTGCGATGCATTTTTCGCCACATATTTCAAAGGACACCGCAAGTGATTGGAGCGCGATATCTATCAACGCGTAGAATTATACTACTTTTGACTAAAAAAAAGGGGAGAGGCAACGGTTTTATCTGCTCTCTTCACTATATGATAGATTTTTGGCCGTTCTAATCGTCCAAATCAAAAAGGTCCAAAACTTATGTGAACTCTCCGATATTTATGCTCCGAACCAACTCAGTTGGTTTGGTAGTTGGTCTAGAAACCAACAAATTCGAGAACGGATATTAGGTCACATAAGTTTTGGGAACTTTTTACATAACATAGTTTGGAATAATATTGTATAATCATAGCCCAAATTCGGAGCCATGTGATTGTTTGTGCGCTGTAAACAAGCCATTTGTTTGTTTGAGTCTTGCATTTGAAATTCGCGTGCTTGCGAAAGAACACGTTCAACTCATGGAACCTGACATGTTCGTCGTGTTTTTTTTTTGACGCTTCCTCCAGGACCTCATAAAAACGATGTCCCCGTTGCTTCTAACCCCAAAAACGAAGTCCAGTTCGACCCCAAACCATCGGTGCCGGGCCCTGTTCGGGATACTGTAGTTCGATGTTACGGTAGGTGTGTCTTATTGTTAGATAGTGACGAGGTAGGAACTTGGAGGTGGAGCAGCGCGTCCGCACCGCCACTGGCTCAGCGATATAGATTGAAATGAAGAGACGCAGGCAGAAAAGCGGCGTGTATCGTCGCGAAACGGACTCCCTCCAGTCCAATTTCCGCCCAAATTGATTTGAAACTTACTACACATGCGCGCGAAATAATGGGGTAAGCGATCATGCTAGTCCTCGATGTTATGATACCATTGATTTCTTGCACTTTTGCATTTTTCATTCCACGAGGCTCACATCTCGCATATATAGGTTTTGTGACATGCTGATTACGAAAATGATAGGGTTGATACCGCGTTCTTGCATCATTTTCTTCATTTTTACGAAGAACTTTTGTAAAAAAAATTTCGTAAACTTCTATCGTATCATCATCGTAGTCCCACTATAGGGCAGTGTGAACAGAATGGACGATGTAATCGTGATCAGCACGTGAATTAACCTCAAATTACAATTTTTCGTGGAAACCCATGATGTTGACTGTACGGAATGACTACCTAACCTTACCGTATAGTGCCAAAAACTGAAATGAATCCTATTTTTAGGATAGAGGACTATATATAGGGGGCCAAATGGGGGCAGTTCCCGCGGATTTCTAACAAAGGCGCACCCTTGCACATGCACGGAGGTGCGTTTTTGCAAGAAGCCCGCGCGGTACCCACCCACATTCAGCGACATATAGTTCTCCAGCCTTATTCTATTATATAACCAGCGCCTGCGATAACCCCTCCGAGGATATCTTTAGAGAAATATTTTGAATTTCTTCCAATAAGACTACTACTGCGGATCTTAAGTTTGACAGCGAAAAGGCTAATGGCAGATTGAGGAAATGGTCTTCTCGTGAATGTGTTAAAGGCAGTGTCCAGGCTAAACCTGACCCCCTCCGATTAGTATCGATTCTGAATGTAGGCCCTAGAAAAGGGGCATCTGCTTTGGTCTGGTCTTCTAACGTCGTCTCTGAATGGGGGTAAGGGGCCTGGAAGTCCCTGGGTGGGCGGAGTCTGATATCAGATGATGATTACAGCCAGGGATGCCTCCCGACACGTATTAACATGGTAGTGAGCAGAAGCTGCACACTGCTACAAATTCACTCATGCAGTTGCAGCTCCTCCCCGCTGGCTTGCCGACGGGGACTTCGAAACTCGTACGCGCCCTCAGACAGGGTCCCTAAGAATCGGGTTTTCGTGAATTTGGGGAGTTTGAAGTCCGGAACTGTGATCAGGGCCACGGAAAGGCCCCAAAATGACGGAAACATGGGAGGCAAAATTCTGGGTGGACGCTGCCTTTAATCAAGATCCTGTACACGGAGGCCCCGCAAAGGCAGTAGCTCGGCAAATCCTCAAAGCATCTGTTTCTCACGTGGATAATCCGCTGCTTTCAAGTGTACAAGGATTTTCCAAAGCCATCGATTTAAACATGGACGAGTGGACGTAGAGCCCGCCATGGCGAAGACGCAGAGTCGTTGCAAGACCCGTACGCTCAAAGCATTGTGGTATGCGCCTCTGACGATGGAAGAGAAACCGCCAGCTGGGTAGGGTCAAAGATGAGGGCTGTGAGGGGAGATAGAAGTGCTCCCTTTCGCGTTGTGTTTTCGAGGGGTCAGAAGTGGTAGTGAAAGATCAAACTTAGGGCCGCATGCACTAACATTTCCGCTGGGGAGGGGATCGCAACTTCAGAAGAAGGCTTCATATCCTGAAGCTCCGGATATCTGGATTTCACGCTGTCCACCTGTCCGTAAGTACTCCCACCATCCTTCACTATGAACATATTGAGCAGAAGCGAGAAGCTGTACAAGCACAACAGCGTTAAGCATGTTGCTGATGAGAACAAATGAATTTTTGAAAAATCGAATTTTTCGGTATACCCCAAATTTCGACCTGTGTATCATCGAAAATTTCATGACTTCAAAACATCATCTGTTCTCATCAGCAACATGCTTAGCACTGTTGAGTTAGATAATCTGCACAACTTTGGAATTTTTTCGTTAACTTCGGAGAAAGAAAAATGACTTTGAAGAAAAGCGCCGGGGATCATCAGGGATCATACAAAAGCTGGAAAATGCGGTTTGTACAGCTTCTCGCTCCTGTTCAACATGTTCATAGTGAAGGGTAGTAGGAATACTTACGGATAGGTACACAACGTGAAATCCAAGTATCTGGAGTTTCGAAATATGAAGCTTTCTTTTGAGCTGCGATCCCCTCCTCGCGGCCATGTTAGTGCATGCGGCCCTTAGCCTATAGGTTACATCATGTGGGCTTCTACTCTATGACATTGTTTTACCACGGTTCTCATTCTGCCGAGCCAATGCCTTCAAAATTGCTTTCCACAGTTTCTCTGTGGGAGCTGCCGGATCTAGCATCCAGTTCTTAATAACTCTAGAATTTATTTCTTTCACTACTGCTTCATCTTGCTTGTGATTGGAATTAGCAGGTATAGTGCAGAAAAGTATCAAAACATGCACGTCGTACAGCAAGCAGCATAATCTTTTCTTATCTGACTGGATGTAGGCTCGTGCAGAACACAGTGAGCTTATTGACAAAAAATTGTTTTAGAAGAAGAGAAGAAAGAAAAGCAACGACGAGATTTCATCGACTGGAAGAAGATTTTACTTCGATATCCAAGAGAACGAGCTTTCGACGATCGGGAGGATGTCGGTGAGTAGAATGCATTGAGAGCAAAGCATTTAAAAAGCATAAACCTTCTCGAATTAAGACGGCAATTTCACAAGAGCTAGAGGGGGTCACTGGCTGGTGAATTGTTTACTTGGACCAAATGACTCCAAGACATTCGAAGAAACCAATAGAGAAAAAATTTCAAAGGTAGATAAAGCTCTTGATCCAGAAAGGTACAAAAATACATGTTTCTTCCAGGGTATCTTTCTGCATAAAGCAATTATAAAAGAAGCTGCCAAGAAACAAGAAGCAAATGACAGAAGCAAGAATTTAGATTCCCACAAGCAATCGAATTAACTATGTTTGAATGTAGACATTTACAAAAAAAATAGCGTTGATAATAACCATTAAATAAGAAACTTGTTTTCAACTCCATATAACACAATCAAGGTTCAACAAAATCGTGTCCATTTGCTTTCCCTGATCATGGTGCCTGTGAATGAAACTGCTACTATCTTCACTTTCAATTCGATTATTACCACCATTTTTTGGAATAACCAAACACCATGAATTTTCTTTCGAATTTGGAACAATAGACGAAAGAAAACTAATTTTTATCCTCGAAAAAGTTTATCCGGAAGTGAGATGTAACTTTAAAAAAAAACACATGAGCGAGTCGAATTATGGACGCGACCATATTTCACCAATACGTTTTTGTGAGAAAGCAGTCCCTAGTTTCCATCAGAAGGATACATCTGTAACGTTCTCCATGTGAAAGGTCTGGTTACAATCATCTTTGAGATCTGCAAAGAGCTGAAAACGTAAAAGTGCGATTCAGCATGAAGTTTGTCACTAGGTTTTGTACCTCATCGAAAGCTTTCCGAGAAGCCGTGTCTCCTGTGGAAAGTTGGTCGTCGGTTATGTCTGAAGGATGGTATGTGTCATTCACGGCCTGCTATATTTTGAATCATAGGGCATATTATCGTCCGTTCCCCAGAAAGTTCCCATAAGGTACCACCAACGTGGCTGCCTTTCGATCGTTTCAACATGTGAACTTCAAATAAGCGCCTTAAATTTGCGCGAGTTAAAGGCAGTAGGTCGGCAGAATGAGACCCGTGGCAAAACAAGGTCACAGGATAGGAGCCCCATAATGGAACCTATGGGCCAAAGTTCGATCTTTCTCTGCCACTTCTAACCCCCGAAATTTCAAAGCGAAAGCAGCGTTCATCTCCTGTCCTATCCGAACCCGCCCACCCCATGGACGAGTGACGGAGCCCGTCATGGCGAAGACGCAGGGTCGTTGCGGGACCTCATGCTTATAGCATTGCGGCTGGCGCTCTGACCGCGGAAGTCACTCGTCCATGGGGTGTGCGGATTCGGATAGGACAGGAGATGAGCGCTGCTTTCGCTTTGAAATTTCGAGGGTTAGAAGTGGCAGAGAAAGATCGAACTTTGGCCCATAGGTTCCATTATGGGGCTCCTACCCTGTGACCTTGTTTTGCCACGGGTCTCATTCTGCCGACCTACTGCCTTTAACGTGTTGAAACGATCGAAATGCAGCCATGTTGATGATACCTACGGAACATCTCAGGCAACAACCATACAATTTCAGCAGTAAAAGTTACCGCACGCATAAATGAAAGGCAACGTTTAAAAAACTCTTCCATTAGCCAAAAGAGGCATGGTGAAGCTGCGTGACCATTAAATTGGGCTTTTCGTGTTTTCGTCTAATAAACGAGCACCTAGGGCTTACAACAGCCCGGAATCCAAGTTGAAAATTGGACAGTACTACCCCCGAAGATGGTTAAAAAGAGGCAATATGATGGATAGCAATGACGCACCCCGGGATGAGAGATTTCGGCAATAAAAAGCAATTATACCAAATTTACATAAACAATCGATGAGCCAGGCAATGCATGAGAAAATATACCTGCTTCCATATTAGTGGTCTTTACCGATAGCACCTGTTCCTAAACAAGATTATTACCGGTAGATTAATAAGTAATTTTGACTTGCTTATTAAGATCGGACTCACATCTTGGCTCGCACTCGTCTTACTGAAAACATCTTGTTTACAAAACGCATCATGATCAGCGCACAGCTCGTGGAAGAGTGAATTTGTCTACAATACCTCAAGCAATCTTCAATCCCACTTTTAAGATGACAGTAATTTTTAGCAGAAATAAACAACTTAAGATAGCAAGGCTGCCTAGTCGGTATACTAGGTGGAAGCAACAGTTCTATCGCACCATTTTTCAAAAATTCATAACTGACTAATTTTTCAAATGAATTTCTTGCTGTTATACATTCAGGGAAGAGAAATCACGCTTCATAACAATGCTTTAGCGGCTTTCTTCTGAGCTTATATTGCATATAAAAAAAACTATAAAAATCACTTTAATTTCGAGTTTTCTGAGTTGTCGTAAGAAATCTGAAACTTGCGAATTTCGGCAGTCGATATAATAGCATTCATTATTCGCTCTTTCCAACTAAAACAAAGTTTGCGCGGATTGTTATCGTGAAAAGTTAAAATTTTCGAGAAAAGTGCAAAAAAAATTTCAGATTGGATATTTTGTGCTACTTGGACCAATAAACTTTTCATAGAGACAATCAGTCTGCGCGAACTCTGTTCTGTTGGAAAAGCAACTGATAAGAACTAGGATTCATATCGCAACATTAAGATTTACGACCAAGCTAAGAAAAGCTGAAATTTGATATTTTTATGTTACTGCTTCTATCCAAGCAATTTGGCATCATAAAAAGCCAAATGGGGCACCATTGAGAAAACACGACTTCTTCTTTTGAACAAAATTAACAGCAAGGGATTCCATTCAAAACAAATAATTCTGATGGAATTCCTTAGATTTTTGAAAGAGGTGCGGCAAAACTTTCGTTCCGACTAATATTTATACCACCAGGCGAAGATTTGATTGTCCATTGGAATGGGATTGACCAGACAATATATACCCTATTTTCCGGTTTATAAGCCGCACCTTATATAAGCCGCACCCGCCGCAGCGAACAATGGCGCGAAAGAGCCTTCGAAAAGAAAGTTTTGATCCAAAAAACTGAAATCTCACTGCATTTTGTGACTGCTTTTCATTGCGCATGTTCACGTTTTCAGATATTTCTTTATTTTTTTCCAGAGATTCGGACGATTTTGGGCTGTGTGGGTTGTGTTTTTTTCCTCAAGGACCCAATGGAGTTGACCGTGTTTTTTTTTTGTTTTTAAAGATGCTAATGAGGTTAAAGCTGCTGCTATTTTATTCGATTCTAATGATTGTTGATGATGATGTTGATGTTTGGTGCTTTCAATACTTCCACAAGAAAGAGCGAAAGCAGAAAGATCAGGCTAGTAGGTAAAATAGGTGGTAGTTGGCTGCTTGCGCGCTGCGCACATCGCGACCATCATCTCGCATCAGCTCACGCGCGACGAAAATAATTGCGGCTTATACGCCGGAAAATAGGGTAATAATAATTTTTATTTCAGGAAGACAAAACTTACCGGGCTATGCATAGACAGAACCAGTTGCGAGATACCCAGAGCACGATCGTAAGCCATTTTCACGAAAGTGAATAGCTGGTCAAGTTTCCAGTTTAGAAGGTACATGCGACTGTATTCATCAAATGACCATTTATATCCACAGAACAATAAAGATGCTAAAGTTACTATTGAGTAACAACAATGCTTCCGAGAGTAGCAGAGTAGTGATAGGTTTCTCAAGTTTACATATATTTAGTGATATTGGATATACTTACTGAATTTGGACCACAGATCCGCATGCTTGATTTCATTCTCTTGCGAGAGCTCAAACAATGTTGCGCGTTCAGAAATAATCGTCGACAGGGCTTGCGCATGAATACGGAGCTTCGTAATTAGTTCCTAAGCATAACATTAGAAATGTTAGGTGCACTTGCAAAAATAGAAAAAACTGAGAGAGTAGTCCCGATATTTTCGCGAAATTCCTGTACAGGACCTAGCCGCTTGCATTAATTCCACAGCCGCAGTCCACGGTGTGTTTATGGGACCTCGTTCCTGCATATTTGGCCTTAAGCAACAGGCATAGTGTCCACTTTCGTCGCCGCGATTTCATCGCCGGGAATTCGGTGGTTTGGGCGATGAGATCGCGACGACGAAATCCCTCATCGCAGAAGAGTAGGCATAGTAGTGACGATCTTAAGTCTATGCAAGCATTAGAACTAGATGCACGCAATAAAAAATTGTTTTGCGAGTGGAATACTACTTCCTCTCAGTAAATACCCCTGCTCATGCCGATAATGAAACGCGAGCACATTACTTTTCCATAATTTGCCCCATCTCATCTCACAACCTTATTAGTTTAGAAAATCGTCTGCGAATGTTGGCTTTTGGAAGCTAACCGCTGCAATAGGGATGTTTCACTAGGTTTTTAAGGACAAGCAATCACAAAGAACTAAAGAATGATGACATGGAATTCTCCACTGTTTTGGCAAAAATTGCCGCTGCTATTTGGAGAAAATAAAGCATAGCACTGAACTAAAATTGTAAAAACAGAACCTCTTCGTGCTGATGCATTTACATCAAACTTGAAAATCTTTCTGTATTTATACTGATAGAGACTTGAGGATACGCACTTCAAAACAGGGTATTCAACTTGCAAAAAGCAAACACCTAGACACTAAAATCATCCTAAAAATTACACTTCAAAAACAAACAGTTTTGGATCATTTAAGAAAGGGAACGGGTCACATGACAATTTATTCGTGGAAAAAGGCGTAAACTTGAAGTTTTTCTGTTCACCTACTTCAGAAGAGATTTCCTTGTTTTACAAACAAAAACGAGCTGAAAGAACAATGCATGCCAAAACCTCTCGATATCTTCCTCGCATCCCAGCGATATCGCCCAGTCGCCTGTGCAGCACGCGCGACGCGACATCGCGGAGTTTTGCCGAATTCGCGGCGATTATTGCTGGAGAACTACACCCTAGCCAGAAGCGGTCTGCGATCCGTCGCGCCGGACGACTACAACAACCGCCGTAACAGACAAATGGGCACACAATGGGTGCGTAACAGTTGTCGTTTTACAGAAATCGCAGCGCGACGGAATCGTGGACACTATGCCCTAGGCCTTACAGACAACTCTTAACCCTTACTAATATACATGCGGGATATTGCCAAGAATAGATCCCCCCTCTCCTCTGGCAAGTAGGACCGCAGGACTGCACCAATTCCTACACTTACATTTGCAAATTGGTGAAGCTAGAGTGCTGCAAAAGTAACTAGTTTTCAAACAACAGTGACATCTAGGTAATATATGAAGAAACGCAAGCGCAATTCAAAAATCTGCAAATAGAGGGAAACTCCCGAAGCGAACGCTCTTCCAAATAGCACCTTTAGATTAGTGGTTCACTAGTGTATATAGTAGATTTTTTCTTAAAAAACTCCAAATAAGCTTTGTTAAAAATTTTTTCGAAATTATTTAGGTCTGCGAAGTTTTTGAAGCATTTCAAAGATTTTTTCAGAGAAAATTTTCCCTTTTTTTGAAAAAAAAAACTTGAACGTGTCCTTTCCTCTTCCTCCCCCCCCCCTCCCTCCCAAAAAAAATTTGGAACTTCACCGGCTCAATGTATCAAGCTTGAGCGTGCTTACAGTTCTGTAGATTTTCCGCTCAATATCGTGCGCTCGCGATGCCAAGAGTATGCGGTAATATTTGCGCTTGAACGAATATCTACGCCTAATTGCAGGCATGCGCGCATAGATTGCCGGAATTTTAGGCGTACAGCTTGTCCCAATCGTAAATTTGCAAGCTCGCAGCGTGTTCGCGCTGTATGTACGCAGCTGGCGGAGAGAACAAAAAGATTGAAGAAAGAGCAGATAAGAAGGTTGCAGGCAAAACCCTAGTGGCACGACCCGCCACTGCAATCCTGGCCTGACTAAAATTGGGGCAGAGTATTGCTATTTCATCGCAAATTTCACCGCAATTCTCTGCACCCAAGAACACTATAACAGGCGGTATTATTCTACTGGACGCATCATACAGGTATCGTCGAGTCATTCGTAACTTAAGAGAAACTGCACACAAAGCCTTTCAACGTACGGCACCCTTAACATTAACCTCTCGATCAAATCTTTTTTAACGTAACAAACTGTAAAATTGTATATTATTAACCAACCAATATCCTATTAAATTAAAAGAAGCAAAGAAACAAGGTAAAATTGCTGAAACGAGCAGGTTCCAATCTTATAAGTTCGTCAAATAGGGCGTATGATGTGCATTACGCATATTAAGTTACAAATGACTCGAGCATATGTATAACAGTAGAAGTTAGGGACCTCAAATTGATTTGGATTTCATCTAATGTCTGTGGGTTCGCGACTCGCGCGGTTCCAGGTTCGCTCGCGTACAGGTTGGGCATCAATGGTCTCACTGACTGGAGGTGCACGCAGACCCTCGCGTTGCGCTTGCGTAATTCCTACGCGAAAGGGAGTACGTAACTGAGACAGGCTGTAGTTGCAGCGATTCTCGTGCAGTGGCAGTACGGCATCGTCGGAGTACAGGTTCATTTTTTATTTGTGGTCGTTTTGTTTTTTGCTGTTTCTACAGATCTACAGATTCGATGTGGCGCGGCCACAAAGATTGCCTCTATATAATAGGAACAAACTCAACTTGCTGCCTTTCGCTCTTTCTGATAAGTTATTGGCAAATTCAAGGCGCTTACTGGAAGTGAACATGTTAGAAGCAGCGAATTGGGCGTGCAATCAGATATAGGCGTCTCCCAGGAATAGCGAGCGGAGCATTTGCAGACATACCAAGTTCAAAACTTGTTGAACCTCCATTTTAGAGCATTACTTTTTTACCAGTGCTTCACCTCTGCTTTGCAGAGGCTCGCACTGGTCATCACGGAAAGTGATAGAATAAACTCGCGTCCCAATAGCTTGTTTCTCATGTCATTCCAAAGTTATCGAAGCGAGTGACCCTTAGTTGAAAGTGAACCACCCTCGCTATCAAATATCATATGTTTGAAAAATTGTAAATCATTCCTTACTGTGATTTCGTACAAACTCCACACTTTAAATTAAGCGGCTTTTATAAGTCACTAGCCGCTGTACCCGGCTTTGCCCGGCTGTTATAGGTTAATTCCAGATTCTAATCAATTATGGAATCTACATACATGGCATTTTAAAGGCTGTGTCCGGGCAAAAACTCGATTTTGAGATTTTGTGCTTACCCGGGCCTATTCGCTACGCTGAATCCGAAAATGCGCATTGGAGAGCGCGAAAACGGCGAAAAAGGGCTCTTACACAGGACGGAAATCAGAAGTGGGCGGGGTCTTCCCCACTGTGAATTTCGCGGTCCCAACTTCTGGAGCGATTTTCTCAACTCCGCTAGCCCTCTGAGATCTTCACAGGCCACGTGCAAACGCATGACTTGAAATCGGGACCGAGAAGATCGCTCTGGAAGCTTGGAGCGTGGATCCGCGGTGGGGAAGACCCCGCCCACTTCCGAATTCCCTCCTGCGTTAGAGTTCTTTTTCGCCGTTTTCGCGCTTTCTAATGTGGATTTTCGGATTCAGCATAGCGAATAGGACCGGGTAAGCACAAAATCTCAAAATTGACTTTTTGCCCGGACACTGCCTTTAAGTGGTATATCCAAAATCCTAATCCAAAAATTAACAGCGTTATCTTAATTGTCTAGTTTCTGCACTTGAAAGCCCTTCAAAAGTTTCGCTTTGACAGTTTTTATAGGGCAAACTTCACAAACAGTGAATTAAATATAGTCTGTGTTAATCACGTACTCCCTTTAGTGTGAGAACTACGCATGCGCAACGCGAGGACTTTGCATGCGGATCTCCAATCGATGAAGCCAATTTGAATGTTCGAGCCATACGCGCGCGAGCATGGCGCGAAGCTCTGGCGGGGCTATTGCGCTTACGGGAGGGAAAGGGAGCACTTGATTGACACAAACTTTGTGACTCCGCACTCTCATGAAGCTGGATGCAATTCCACATGTGCGAGATGGTCGTCAAGAACTTAGTTCAAAGCTTGTTAATCAGTTAGCTCTACCGCGCTGTTCTTGTTAGAACTTAGAATGAGCTTCTCTGCTATTGTTTACACCAAAATGTGCATGAGGTATGATAGTGGTTGATAAGACTTCACTTTCATTGCAAAGTGCCGAAACCAATCATCTTATATATAAAGCTGAATGTCTGTTTGTCTGTCTGTCTGTCTGTCTGTCTGTCTGTCTGTATGTCTGTGTGTACGTATTTCCGAATAGAAAATTCCATTTCTGAACCGATCGGGACCAAACTTGGCACACATACACTTCGAGCCCCGGCGGGTGTCATAGGCTACTTTTCGTCATCGATCGATATCGATTTTATCGATTTTTTGCAAAATTTGTGCTACGGGGCTGGGAGTTGGCACAGGGGGGTAATCGAGCATGCTGATCACCCCCGTGGGGGTGATCAGCATGCTCGATTACACCCCTCTGCCAGATTCCAGCCCCCTAGCTCAAATTTTGCAAAAAATTGATGAAATCGACATCGATCGATAACGAAAAGTGGACTGTGACACCCGCCGGGGCCCGAAGGGTATGTGTGCCAAGTTTGGTCCGGATCGGTTAAGAAATGGAATTTTCTATTCGGAACATACGGCGGAGCCGGGTAAGCCAGCTAGTCTTATATATAAAGCTGAATGTCTGTTTGTATGTCTGTCTGTATGTATGTACGTATGTTCCGAATAGAAAATTCCATTTCTGAACCGATCGGGACCAAACTTGGCACACATACACTTTGGGCCCCGGCGGGTGTCATAGGCTACTTTTCGTCATCGATCGATATCGATTTTATCGATTTTTTGGAAAATTAGAGCTACAGGGCTGGGAGTTGGCACAGGGGGGTAATCGAGCATGCTGATCACCCCCGTGGGGGTGATCAGCATGCTCTATTACACCCCTCTGCCAAATTCCAGCCCCTAGCTCAGATTTTGCAAAAAGTCGATAAAATCGACATCGATCGATAACGAAAAGTGGACTGTGACACCCGCCGGGGCCCGAAGTGTATGTGTGCCAAGTTTGGTCCGGATCGGTTAAGAAATGGAATTTTCTATTCGAAACATACGGCGGAGCCGGGTAAGCCAGCTAGTGACTTATAATAACGGGCTAAGGGTTGTTTACGTCTTTTTGTGTGTCTGTGTGTCTGTGTGTCTGAAAGTGTGTCTGTTACGAAATTTGTAGAACATGTTCCAGCCAACCTCCTGAGCCCAAATTTTGCACGGCGCATGCTAGCAGCATGAAAGTCCAATATACAAAAGCGCGAGCAAATCCGTCGAGTGGATCCGTTAAAAATTGCGCGCCAAACGGGTCCACCTGGCTTCTGTACCGCAAAATTCGGTCCGTATCACCACTTTTTGCAGAGTCGTGGATGAGTTTGGTAAGCAAATGTGCAAGCGATGGAGTTTACCCAGAAAAGTGGTCGAAAGTTTACTACATAACGAAAACAGCGCCAAAATGAATTGGTTGTGTAAATGGTCAACTTGCCAAGGTTGTAGCCAAGCGTTTGAGAAGATTTTCGCACAGAGATGTAGCTCACGGTTATCATTACCTATATGGCGACTACCAAGCCATGACAAATCCAAAAACCTATTCAAATTTGCGTTTGTCTTCCTGCGAAAAGTTTCATCCACTCGAAATCACCGATCTCACGTGAAAAGACTTTCTAAATGAGTGGTTGTTTGCATTTTATTCGTGGTAGTCGGCATAGCGCGGTGAGTTCCAGTGCCACGATTTTACGAGAATGAGTAAGGCACATAGATAGTAGAGCCAGTGCGAACCTCTGCGAAGCAGAGGTGACGCACTGGTAAACCAATATCCAGCGAATCGCTTCAAAAAGTGGCCTAAACCGTCTACGGGGTCGAAAACGTATATGTGCAAAATTTCAGCTCAATCGGTTCACGCGCAAAGGAGTCTATAAAAACCATACGGTCAAGAGTTGCACACACTTTGACTTTTATATACATACTAGTTGACTTTCCCGGTCCAGCCCGGGCCATTGTTCACCTGCACTCGAGCCCCCCCCCCCCCCACCTTATATGTTATAGCTGGCGTACCCGGTTTCACACGGAACTGGGTAGCCAAACCGTAAAGCGGTGTGCACTCCCGAGTGAAATGGCGGGGCTTACCCCTCCGCTGTCTTGCCCTTCGCCTCCACCCGACCACTCGCTTTGCCCTGCTTTCCTGCACAGAATACCACGTGCGAGAAAACCTTTAGCAATAGAGGGATCAACTAAGCGACTCACGTAGAGTCACCGCATGCTCCTAACTTCCGTGTAAAAATGAGATCTACCATCTTTACATGGCTATGGTGAAATGACTTGATAGTGACTGCAAGCTTTCATTTTTCTAGGAGTCAGTAAACAAATCAATAAATCGATGAAAGGACCCGATGAATTTTTCTGAAAAGTCCTAAAACCGTCTCCAGGGTGAAATACATCTGTGTGCGAAGTCTCAGCTCAATCGGTTCAGCCGTGGGCGTTTCTATAAAGCACATACTCTCCAAACAGACAATTTTTGAGATTTATATATATAGAGACTAGTTGGCAAACCCGGCTCCGCCCGGCCCTGTCAATAACATACTTGTAATCAGCATGCTCAATTACCCTCTGTGCCAACCCCCAGCCCCGTAGCTCAAATTTTGTAGAAAATCGATAAAATCGATATCTATCGATACAAAAAGAAGTGTATGTGTGTCAAGTTTGGTCCAAATCGGTTCAGAAATAAAAATTTCTATTCCGCACATACGTACAGACAGACAGACATACAGAGAGACATTCAACTTTATATATAAGATTGTTATAGACTAGCTGATTTCCCGGTCCAGCCCGGGTCACCGTTTAGGATGGCCAAGAACCACACTTTTGTCTTTCCTCCTTTCCGTCTTTTTTTTTGGTTCAGCCATATTTTTCTCCCCTTTTCTGCAGTCTCAATACTACGCTGAAAGCTTCCTTCCCTTACCTTCCTGCCTGAACTTTCCTCAGAAAGGTTGACTGGAGTAACTGCATTTTCTACAAGTCAGATTTAAAATGAACTTTACTGCATTGTTTACACCAAAATGCAAGCGGGTTTGATAGCGGCTGGTAAGTGTTCATTTTCATTGTAAGGCGCCAAAAATCAATAAATCAGTAGAAAAATTCCGCGAATCGCTTCGAAAGGTAGCTTAAAACCATCTACGAGGTCGGAAACATATGTGTGCAAAATTTCAGCTCAATCGGTTCACACGCAAACGAGTCTATATAAAACATATGGTCAAGATTTGCACAAACTTTGACTTTTATAAATATAAGAAAATTCTCTTTCTATAAGAAGCTGCCACGCACATACGTCACCAAGGTTGGCAAGGCTCCGCCTGCCATGTTTTTGAGAGATGACGATACAGTAAGTTTCGATCCGCTTTAGGCCCCGGGCAGACTTCACGCGATTTGATCGTCGCGACTGAATCGCGAGGAGACAACTGTTACAACATCATTCCATGCAGATCAACTTGCATTCGGTTGTGATACTTTTCCAGACCGAAATTTTTGAATGTGAAATGAAAATGAATGGAAATCTTGGCGATTTGGTCGCGACGATTAAGTCGCGTGAAGTCTGACCGGGGCCTTAGGCGGAAAGGAAATTAGATTGGTGGGCGTCCGCCCCGCAACGCCTCCCGCCGTTTCGCAGCTACAGCATATCATATCGTGCTGAGAACCGAAGTCTGGTCTCTTCATTCTCCTCAGTCTTTGCTTGGCAAAATGCCAGCGCTATGCGCTCGCGAAGTCTCCAGCGGTGCGCACGCGCAGCTCTTTGTGGAATGTTCCCCAAATCCGGGATGAAACCGACCGTACTTATGAGGATTTCGATGGGGTGACCATACACCGTTGTACCCCGCCGCACTTCATGCGCTCTGTGGTTAAAGGCAGAGTTCAGGCAAATCTGGACATATATGAGGATCTCACGTAGATACTAATTTTGGGGCCCTAAATAAGCCAAGCTCTAACGGCTGAGATATTCCCCTCGAAACTGGACGCCGAGACCGTATTCGCATGGATTCATGGAGCAAGATCCGTGGGTCCTCACGCAAACTGATAGTTTGCGCCATGAATCCAAGCGCATAATGTCCCCAGGGTCCAGTTAAGAGGGGGATATCGCAGCCGTTAGAGCACTACCTGAACTGCCTGTTAGGCAGTGACTTAGTTAGGGCCCCAAAATTACTTAACACGTAAAATCCCCATAGGTTCAGATTTGCCTGGACGCTGCCTTTAACACGTTTCGGACCGCGAAATCGCGCGCGGCGAAAAAGAGTGTATTTTCAGCCGTCTGCCAACAAAGGGACCTTATTTCCAGACTGTGTACTACATCTGTGATCAGCATTTTAGATAACCTCCATACGCAAAGTTCGTGAATTCGAAGTGTTTGAATTTTGTCGCTTGAGGAGGACTTCTGTACTTTCTTGGAAGATAAGAACAAGGACTCAGTTTCTAATAGTACCCAAAAGTGTCTATGTTGTACACGCTGCACATCATTATTGAAACTACGGTTTTCTCTTTGACATCGAAGCAAAGGAAAGTTGCGATGTCGCACGCGCTATTCGCGTTGCCGCACTTCGTTGCAACTGTTGTTCGATTTGTCCTCATATATCTTCTAAACAAATATCGGCGACACAGGTTTACATAGTCATTTGGAAAGGAGGGGCTTAGGCCTTTGACTTGATAACCTTGGACAAAAAGAAAACCTCCTGTAAACGTTAAAAAGATCCTTCAAACCCGGGTACTACACCATGTGCAGCACCGGTCCGAGACGTGTTAACAGAACTGCATTTGCGGTCATTAGTTTAGGGATCGTTCAGACCGCGCCAGAATCCGTCCAAACCCGCCCGAATACGTCCAAATCCGTCCAAACCCGCCCGAATACGTCCGAATCCGTCCGAACCCGCCTGAGCGCTGGAACTGCCAAAGCGCAGCGGATATGCGGCAAATTGGCATATTGGAGCAGGCGTGGAATAATGCTCGCGTAGTGCATTATCTCAGTCACACGCAGCTCGACGTTACATACCGATCTTCTTTTGCAACTACTCCGATATTAGAAGGATCAATCGCACGCGTGCTCCAATATGCCAATTTGCATGCAACCTGCTGCGCTTTGGCAGTTCAGGCGGGTTCGGACGTATTTGGGCGGGTTTGTGCGTTTGGAAATATTCGGGCGGATTCGGACGTATTCGGGCGAGTTTGGGCGGGTTCCGGCGCGGTCTGAACGATCCCTTAGGCGCCTTCGTCCGGCAATAGCTTATACCTGCGTTAATAATCGAGAAATTGGAACGCTTATAGAGATTATGCAGTCACACAGACTACCCAGCAGACAGAGCCCCAAAATGTTTGCTTTCCCGACTTTAGGGAGTTGATGTTTTTATGCCACTGTAAAAGTCACTTACTTCAGTACTTTCGCTAGCATACCGGCTTGATCTCCTTGACTGCCCTGAATTATCTTATGAAGTGTCAAAGTATCGAGTAACAATATTGATCAACGCACCTTCACCACCTTTACTTGGAGTGGAGTTGGCGAAGTCCGCACCTGTCCAAAACGGTTTTGTCTCCTTCGAGAGATCCAGTGTGTCAGGATTGTCGCTCACCTTAGACGTGAAAGCGGCCGAACTCTGGCAATTCGGCACTTTTTGAGAAAAAATATAGGCTGATTCGAGATATATCAACGTCGGGTGGAGGACTATCAGTCGCCGAATGTGGAAGAGTCCCGCGCGGATTCCCTGCAGGAACGCACGTCCGCGCATGTACAAGGGTGCGTATTTGTCGCAAATGACCGCGGGGACCGCTCTTTTTCGGCGACATAGTCCTCTACCCTATCAACGTCATGACATGCGCTTCGTCAAAACCTTCTGCTGTTTAGCCGCACTGACATCTGTTTAGGTAACGTTTTTCGAATTATGAACTGGTATCGTGACCAGTCAAAAGCGCAAGGATGAGGCTAGGAAAAATCCAAAATTCTGTCGCAAACGTAAGCGATAGTGTCCACTCCATTAGTGCTGCTAGGCCTGTTTTGGCCTGCGCCACGCGTAGCTAATATGCTGACAATATCAAACATGTTGACCTCAGAGCGAACAGCCAACACAGTTGCTAACATGGGAAAATGCATCAGTTCGTTTCTACTGTTAACATGTTGCATGTTGCCAACATGTTAGCAGTAGCCATCACGTCAGAGACGCAGAGCAGGAGGCCGATACATTACCCGACGCCAATGAAAAAATGGTGCATAGTTTTGAGTTACGGGATTTACGTTGCTTGCGTTTTGCACGTTTTTTCGCCTAACGCTTGCCCTCCGAGCAGGAGTAATGTGAATTGGACGATGTGCGATACGGAAGCGTAGGTACAGGGCTTTACAACCTGAGTTTCCCACCCGCCCCGCCAGGACGCCACGCTTAGGTCCGCGCAGCGTTCGTGGCGCTGGCTGCGCGTCGACTGAAGCTTGGCGAAATCCGGGCGATACGCAGCAAACGCCGCGCGCGGCCTGAGCGAGGCGGCCGCGTTGGAGGAGCCGCGCAAGCGAAACTTGCGACTCTCAGGTTGAAAAACCCTGTAGCTGCACAACTTCACTGCTTTCGCTCTGCTTGGACGATCCACTCGGTGAGTAAGTTTTTTCCATCTATTAAGACGCAAAGCCTTGCCATCTTGAGTCAATCATTGAGGCATTAGAGATCCAGTCAACCCGAGAAAACAGTTCGTTCCTACTTGAGTCGATTTTTTCGCATGCACATGTCAACTTCTGGGTAATAGAGGTGACTGACTTGAGCATTGAAATGATGCCTCTATTTGAGTGATCTACACCGTACTCAAATTCGTCTTTACGAAAAAAGAAGGCCATACACAAATATCGATGCGGATGCCTAAAGGTAGTGTCCAAACAAGGTGGGGTCTTGAAGCAGTGATGCGAAAGTGGGCTTGACCAAAAGCACAAAATACGGTCGGAAAGTTAGAAATTTCGTTTAGGAGGGGGGAGGCGAGGGGACTCCTCTGTAATCTCTGCTCTGCGGCGAAGTACGCATGCCGCCTCAGTTGAAGTCGTAGGTCCCGCAGCGACTCTGTGTCTCAGCCTTGGCGGGAAGCGTTCAATTTCAAATTTTAACACGTTTCGGACCGCGAAATCGCGCGCGGCGAAAAAGGGGGTACTTTCAGCCGTTAGCCAACAATGGGACCATATTTCGTATACTGCGTACTACATCTGTAATCAGCATGTCAGATAAGATTCATACCCAAAGTTCTGAGTGAATTCGAAGTGTTTGAATTTTGTCGCCTGAGAAGGACTTCTGTGCTTTCCTGAAAGATAGGAGCAGAAACTCAGTTTCTAATTGTATCCAAAAGTATCTACGTTGTACACGATACACATCATTATAGGAACTATGGTTTTTCTCCTTGAATTCGAAGCAAAGAAAAGTTGCGACGTCGCACGCGTCGTTCGCGTTGCCGCACTTCGTTGCGACTGTCGTTCGATTTGCGCTTATATCTCCCAAACAAATACAGGCGGCACAATTCTACAGAGTCAGCTGAGAAGTAGAAGCTTAGGACTTTGACTTGATAACCTTAGACAAAAAGAAAACCTCCTGAAAATATTAAAAAGATCCTTGAAAGGCGCGTGCTGCACCATGTGCAGCACCGGTCCGAAACGTGTTAAGAGTTTTTGGAAACGCCGTTTTCGCGCTTTCTTCAGTAAGTTTTCGGATCTAGCAATGCTGATGACCGCAGATAAGTGACTACAAATCGGGTTCTTGCGCGGACACTGTCTTCAAGCGTATGGTACACGGCAGTCGTTGACGCCGTTCGTCTGCATCGAAGAACGAAGTTTATATAGTCTTTTTCAACCCCGAGTAGGCGAAACATTCCAAGTGGAGCAGCGTGTACGCACCGCCACTGGCTCAGCGAAATAGATTGGAATGAAGAGACGCAGGCTGCAAAGGACGCGAATCGTTGCGAAGCGGACTCCCGCCAGCCTAAACTGGGTTGAAACTCACTATAGGCGATTCATAGCGCGCAAAGACTGCGACTTGTCGGTGTCTCTCCGACCGAGCGCTCCTTCGTTTCTCTTACCATCTGATGTCTCTCCCATGCAAAAATTATCTTGGTCGCACGCAACGGCGCCAGTCTTTGCGTGTCATGAATCGTGTATGCTAAATATTTTTTTTCACGAGAAAAGCATGCAACTGAGTCTTCATAACTGCGCAAGCACTGAGGACACCACTGCCCCACATTTTGACTAAGAGTAACTAAACTGAATGAGGAATAAAGTAATCTTCAAAGTCATGAAAATATGCGGCCTGGAGCCAGTTTTTGCTCGATCAAGGGAGATCAAATTGATTTTCATTTTTCGATTACAGCTCACTTCTTCTGTTGGCTCTTTTATCTGTTGAATACTAAAAAACTTCATTGGTCCTCGTGATACGCGCTTCTTGTCACAAATTCCATTTTGTACTTTGTGTATTTGAGTTTCCCACGATTACAGATATCATCGGCTTCTCGATTGTGTAGAGGCGGAGTCATGAAGCATGACCGGTTCTGACAGCGAAAGAGTACGAAAAAGAATGCCGTTAAATGGATAACTAGTTTACCTTTATGATCAGGGAAAGTCCACAACCCACCTTCATACACACACGAATCTTGAAGCCGATAAAGCTCCTGACTTTTCTAAGTCACAAATTGTTCACTTTAACCGCTGATTTTTTTTGCGACTTTTACTTCATAGATATCTACTAGTCGTTCATTATTTGACTAACAAGGGAAGGAAGATACTTGGTCGAAGTGGTGTTTCCATATGAAATGTGTACTGTCTTGGAGCATGGAACGCTGATTCCGAAACTGCTTTCGATATCTGCAAAGCGCTTCTGGAAGGGAAGTTATGGAAATTTTTTTGACGCAAAAATTTCGAGACGCAGCTGCAATAAAGCCTTCCAAAACTGCTCAGATAGTCGAAGGGATACCTCCGGCGGGCATATGGCGCGAGTCTGCCACTTCGCGCTCCGGAGCCCTGCCATTTCACTCATTTTTGTGATCCGGGGCTCTCCCAAAAGTGGCGCACCTCCGGAGCAGAGATTTGTGCGTCGCGGAGAGGGGTCCCATTCATTCACCGTGACGTCACGGTGACGTCACAAACAGGACGAATGGGACCCCTCTCCGCGACGCGCAAATCTCTGCTCCGGAGGTGCGCCACTTTTGGGAGCCCCGGAGCACAAAAATGCGTGAAATGGCAGGGCTCCGGAGCGCGAAGTAGCAACCTCCGCTGGGGAAAGCCCGCGACCCTGCCACTTCTGCTCCGGAGGTATTCCATCGACTGTCTGAGTGTAGTCTGTGAGCTTGGAGGGGGATCATGAACTGCCAGGGCGCTTTCTGCAGTTAATACCTTCACTGTAATAAATCTGAGATAGTCGTTGCTTTATTCAAGCACCATAAAAACCTCAACACTCGTCTTTACCTTAACCAAAACCTTAAATTTTTGTCTTAAAAAGCTCTCATAACTCCCATCCCAAAAGCGCTTTGTAAATACCGAAAGCACATTCGGACTTAGCGTCCATGCTCTATAAGACATTTTACATGTCTTATAGAAACTCCACTTCGAGTATCCTTCCCTTGTAAAAGAGCGAGCACGCTTTGCGTTACGTTTGATCAACACTTGACTAGCATTGGGAATTTATGAGAACATATTCAAACTCGCGTTGTTTAACGAGCTCGAACATGTTCTTCCACAAATTCCTAATACTAATTTACCAAAACGCGTTGAAACGCACTCTTAGGCACCTCCACCCTAAGTTGAGGGTGTTAAGCTTTTAGCAGCATAAACAGTAAGGTCTCCTATCAAGCCAATGCCCAAGTTGCGGCGCAAAATGCCGCTTCGGAAGCGAGAAATTGCTTCGGAATAGCGAAGATGCACGAGGACCCCCATCCATGCCCGCCCCTCCCCATTCATGCCCGCCCGTTTGTGCCCGCTCATCCAATCACCGTTCTAAAAAGACGGCCTGTGGGTTCTCTGGAATGGGGATTTTCGCGGATTCTCGACTTCATATTTGGAATCAGGGACATGAAGAGGCCCTGAACCAAAAAAACCTGGAAGTCGAGAATCTGGGTGGACGGTGCTTTTAATCTTGTGATGTCTCCTAGTAGAGAATGAATGATAGGCTCAAGATGTTCACCTACATCAAAGCGATGTCGAAAACAGCAACAGCAAAACAGCAGAACATCCTTGATACATGGATCATCAATTCCGACTTTATTATGTTATTCTATTACACATGAACAGTACTGAAGCGGATAGTTTGTACAAAGAAACATCAGATAATGCCAGCACTAGCAGCCATCGAATAGAATATAGAATTTCTGTTAGAGAGCAGTTGTTGTGGTGGGGCAAACTCAGCTACTTTGCCCGCTTCCATAACCATCACTCTGAAAGGCATACTCTTTCAATCTTTTCTTGACAAATGCAGAGTTTGTATACCTGTCATAGTCCATAATGGTATTCAGACGATGTGCTATAGTGATTACAGTTGAATCAGCGAATTGCTTTCGTATGGTCGTCTAAAGAAGACTGTGTGGCAAAAAAAATCTCGTCGCAATCTATCACCTGTATAAGATTGTCCGTATGTCCATCGATAGCTGCCGTGGCTTCATCCAGAACTAGTATTCGTGTTTTTCTTAGTAAAGCTCGAGTAAGGCACACCAACTGACGTTGTCCGACACTTGATTTGTGTATTTAGGTATTTGTTCCCGTTTAGAAAAACATCTCCAACCTGATGTTACCACCACCTTCGTCGATCTGATGCAGTAGACGGAGCGGAAGGCTTTCTACAAATGGTTTCAAGCTGGCTGATTCGATAGCTAACCAAAGATCTTCATCACTGTATGTTGAGGTAGGATCCAGATTAAATCGAAGGGTTCCGGAGAAAAGAACAGGGTCCTAAATTTGTACGCTCAGTCCTTTTGGGAAGTAATACTCTCAAACATACTTGTGGTATAATTGTCAAGCGCTCTCTAAGGTCGTGTAACCCGATTGACATGATGTCGATCCCATCAAGAAGTATGTGTCCACCAGCTGGTTCGATAATTCGAAACAGGGCGAGCGTCAATGATGATTTCCCTAGTGATTACAAGTTTTGCTTTTATCATATTTTCAAACTTATTTCATACCTGCACCAGTTCGCCCGACCACTCCTACCTTCTCACCAGGCGCTATATGAGCTGTTAGTCCTTTCAGTACTAAATCCAATCCCGGACGATAACGCGTCGAATAGTCAAATATATCCACTTCGCCCTTGCTTGGCCAGCCAGCTGGAGGACGTCTCTGCAGCCTCCATGGAGCCTTGAGTGGAAGTGAGCTGACTGTTAGATTGGGAACCCGTACGCAACACATGCTCCGTTCTCACCTCAACTGGGGTTTCTGTGTACTCTTTTATTCTCTCAACAGCTACAACATTAGTCTCCACTTCGCTAATTTGACGTACGAACATGTTCAGCATGAATGTAATCTATAAAAAAGAAAATGCATCCCTTCTAAGAGGGAGATGGATGGTTATATGAAGCACTCACGTTCAAACTGTACGAGACAGAAAGTCCGATTTCTCCAGCTGTTATCGTACCCCAGTTACGAGAAATTACTGCGAACAAGGCGGTAGCTATAATCAGTCCTATTATCTAACACACTGGTGTAATTTGAAATGAAAAAATCCCATCTTTTGAAAGGATAAGGCAAATTACTCACCGAGTATTATTGTACTTCCCAATAGTTCTAATCGCACTGAAAGCCATCTACTTGAGACCAAGGAGTAGTATGAGCACCGTACATGGGCTTCAAGCTAGATGAAAATGAGCAAACAATTATACTTGATCTATAAGTGACTGTACGTTCAACACAAAAAAAGTGCATAGAGCCTCCCACAAATTTAATCAGGCTGCACGTCACACTGGGTATCTAACACCTTTGCGGATTGTCTGTCTCCATGAAAGAATTATGAAGTGATATCACCTTTTCTTTGTTCTGCTTCTTGAACATGTCTGTCCATCCAAAAGCACGAATTGTTGTGGCACCTTGAACGCTTTCGGAGAAATGTGAATAGATAGGAGATCTAGTCAAGGATGCTAGTCTCTGTAGCTGGCGGGAGCACGGAATAAAATAGCGCTGTAATGATAGGGATTCAGAAATGGGATCATACAGTGCACAAAGGTTGCCTTACCAAAATGAATATGTATATTATGAAGATGGGTATGATTACAATAATGAAGAGAGGCACCGAAATTGAAATTATGATGCATGTCTGAATGAAAGAATTGTCTCACTGGACCTATCCTACATCTATACAGTACCTGAAGGACGTTCATGAAGGCCATAGCCAGAAATCTGAAATTAGATGAAAGACGAAGATCCACGGTCTCCATATCCTAAATATGACACTATATATGATATCGTTGATGTTGGAGTTAAGGGTGCCTTCATACCGCGCCGGCAGCCGCCGCTAGCAGCCCGTAGCAGCCGCCAGCAGCCCGTAGCAGCCGCCAACAGCCGCTGGCCGCTTTTGTTAAAGAGGCGCAAAATCATCAGAATCATCAGAATCTTACTACTTTGAGTGCTCCTGCCTACGCTTTTCATCTTCCACGCTTTTTCTTCTGTTACCGCCAGTGTGTAGTTCGATTTTGCATATTACATTTGTGTTCATTGTTCTGCTGCCGCACAGTGCATCCTATCGGTGCCCAAATTTCACTTTTGCAAACTGTATTGTCAACGAATGTGAGTCATTGTGAAAATTGAGAGAACCCACCCGCGAATCAATTCGGCGAAATTGCGAAATAGTAGAATGCAATGCAGTTATGCACCGATAGCCAAGAAGAACATCGAGGCAAAAGCATACTCAAAAAGTAAACAAATTGCACACCTGCAGGAACTGGACGCATTCAAAGTCAGAAGGAATCACACCGAGAAGAAACTTCTGCGAACTATGGTTCAAAACAGGATGGCCATGGGCGACATTGTAATGAAACGGACACAAATATGATTTGTGAGATCGAACTACCACTGGCAACAACAGAAGAATAGGCAGGAGCACTTAAAGGAGTTTTCTAATGATTCTGCGCTTCTATAACAAAAGCGGCCAGCGGCGGCTACGGGCTGCTGCGGGCTGCTGCGGGCTGCTGCGGGCTGCTGGCGGCTGCTACGGGCTGCTGCGGGCTGCTGGCGGCTGCTACGGGCTGCTAGCGGCGGCTGCCGGCGCGGTATGAAGGCACCCTAAGAGGTATCATACCTTTCCAAGACGATTCAAAAAGCGTCCCAGCGGTGTGACGTCAAAGTATGAAAGTGGACTACGCAGAACATTGTGAAACAAGGGTTTGTGAAGTTTAAGTGATGCTGCCACGCCCCCAAGAATCAACGTAGTTAGAGCCAGATACAGGAACACGACTGGAAAGAATTGATGGTCTCTCCGAGTTAGCATAATATGAGAGAAGGAAGGAACAAATACCTTCCGAAAATCCAATAACGGCGTAAACTCCCAAACGTACACCTAGCGGTTTAGCTAAGCTCGGGTCTGCACCAGGGGTGTTGTCATTGGACCTGGATATGAGATGAACTTAAAGGGCATTCAGTGCTCTAAAAACTAACCAATCAGTGAGCCAAAAACTTCTTGCCACGATAAGCGCCGAGTTGAGCGATAATGCTATCGCAAACGGAACAAAGTAGCGAAGGATACCCATAGAGTGGAAATAAGCCATGTACACAGAGAATTTGACCTAAAATGCAAGTTCCATGAATTTTCCAGCATCTCAGTTGGAATCTCTCCTACCCTTCCGAGGGCTGTTTTCTCGTCTTCTATGAGCTTAACTTTCTTTCCTTGAGAAGCCTGAGACATGAACAGTTTGAAAATAAAATCCAAACTCGGAAATAATGAGAAAGAGAAACTTGAAAAAACCTTGCGCGAGCGTTTAGATGTTCGGCTTGTCTTGCTCACAACTGATCGTGTTTCAGCGGCATCCTCATGCTCATTAGCATCCTCGTCCGATCTAATAGCATGAAAAAATAGACCCCCACAAAACTACGACATAGAAAACTTAAGCATCAGCTCGTGAGAATCGAAAGTAGGCACTTTTTGAGATAGGTGGACCAAGGACTCACTCATCCGATTCTTCACTGGCATTCGAGTCTTCGTGTCTCTGCACAGATTCTTGGAGGACTTCGGACGCATCAGCATTTTCAAGAAGATTCTCGTAATTGTCTTTGTAAACAATCGTACCGGCTAAAATACTTGAATATTACAATAGCTGCAAATATCTTCGTAACTGTACCTCTCATAACAATAACGACATCGCTGTCCTTGAGATAGGAAAGCCCATGAGTCACAAGTATTCTGAAACGCTCCTGCGTAAGGTTCAAAGATCGCGAATTCGTGAAGATAAGAAAAGACCTTGTTTTCTTTGCAAGCAGACCTTGCGGACCGATTACGTTGCTAAAAATGTGCTTGGACACATGCGCATCGACAGCTGATAAGGGGTCGTCGAGTAGATAGACGTCACGATCTTGGTAGACTGCTCTCGCAAGTGCGACTCGTGCTTTCTGACCACCAGAAAGGTTCACGCCCTGTGAATAAAAAAAGGAATGGTTGGAAACGTCATACACAGCTCGACCTACTTTTTCACCTATTTCTGTCTGATCTCCCTGGGCAAGCTGTGCTAAATCTGGCTTCAGCGCACAAGCCTGTATAAGCTGTTATTAAGGTTGCACAAAACCACTGACTGAAAAGCTTCACCTCAATGACAGCATCATATTTTTCTTTGTTGAATTCTTTTTCCATCACTATGTTGTCTTTCAGGGTACCATTACGTATCCAAGGCTGCTGAGGGACATACGCTACGGTACCTCGAAGGCCTACGTAGCCACGAAGTTTCTCCATCTCTCCTGGAAAATTCATTGAGAGGAACGCAGATCAACGTTAGGATACTGATTCTGGTGGGTTCACCCAATACAAAGCGAAATTTTTTAAGCCTTACCAAGCAATGCAAGCAGTAGGCTTGATTTACCGGCACCTACGGTACCGACAACTGCCAGTAGGTGTCCACTATGGACCTGTAATTACTAAGTTCAAATGACCTGAGAATGTGAGGAGAAGAAAGTTGACCTTCATAGAAATGTCACGAAGTTGTGGAGGCTCATGACGGTCCCAGGCAAATGACGTCACTGACATCTCAGCGGCCTCGACATAGTCTATAAAAAGGGCTTCTTTTATGCAAAAATGGATTTTCAAATGTAGCTTACAATCTCCTTTCTCCTCACGATCAACGGTTTCGTCCGAAAGCTCTTCAGCAACCAAAAATTCCTTTAGGCGTCTGTTCGACACTACAAGCTGTAATGAATGCTGTTCGAGGGAAGGAAGGGGGAAGGAAGGGAGGTACTTGAACAGTTTGTGATATCAAATCTGCTGCCATCATCAGTGGTCCTCTCAGCTGATTGAAAAGGGTCAACGATACGAAAGCAACTTGTGGTGTAAGCACATGGTCGGGTGACGAAAGCGTGTAAGTGGTGAACGTCACCAGCGCTACCTGAGCGTTTGGTTCATGAGCGTGTGAAAGCAGAAAAACGCGGTCTTGTAAACGAAGTCTATGCAATTCTTACTATGAAGGGTGCTGCAACATTGAACATGTCGGCGATTGTTTTGACGATACCAGCCTTGCGTACTAACGACATCTCTTTCACTCGTATCTCATCAACAGTGGCTTCGAGTGCCGGTTCCCAGGCATAGAGCTTCACAACCTGCACTGTCCTTCTCAGGTACTCATCTATTGCACAGAAACATGAAGGCGAAAATAAATATAACATACCTTTATGCCAGATAGAATTTCATTTGTCATGCGTATGCGTTCATCTTTTAACCGCATCTGTTGAACCGTCCACTTCTTGGCAAACAAAGAGATACAGATGTTGAAAGGTATCAGTGAGATCGAAAATAGCCGACATATGATGTGTATGTACGAACGAAAGGAAATGGAACTTGCCATAATTAAAAAGCCCGCAATGACCGCATAACCCACTGTTTGCCATAGAAGCACCATGCAGATGATGACCTGAGGAAGTTGAATGAATTCAAGTGAGGGAGAAATAATGTGGTAACTTCTAACAACAAAGTTTGAACCTGTAGAGGACTGCTCCAGTACTGTTGCAGTTGTGGAGTTATCATGCGAAAGCGATCTACATCGATAGCCATGAGATTTACAATCTCTCCGTGAGTCTTCTGTCTTCTTGAAGCGTTTGAAAGCTTCATCGTCTGCAAAGAACCTCGTTCATATGAAATGAGTTGCGTAAAGATAAGCGGGCGGGTGCACACGATTGCTCACCTTGTTGTAGACGGCTGTCGTCAGTGTGGTCTGAATCTTTGTCCCGATGCGATACATGACTTTGAAATAGTTATTCATTAGTAGGGATCGTAGTATTCCTGAGACGAAAAGCCCGGCTACGTAAAAGAGCCCTTCATACAAAGGAGCATTTGGTTTTTCGGTAAAGGTGATGAGCAAGCTGGAAGACTTTGTGAATGGGTTTTGTAACTAAGTTGTGGGCTATCCCCTCACTTCAAAAAGGCAGGATTCGAAAACTGGATAAGATCAGAAAAGAGTTTGATAATGCTGCCGCCAATCAATTCCCATTTGAATAATCTCCATAAAGCGCCGATAATGGAGGGAAGAGGAACAGGCTCTGAAAGGATCAATGTACTTCTACACTCTGCAGTCATAGCGGTTCAAAAGTGCTAGTATTTGGAATAGAAATTGACTAACCATGTACAGGTCTGTCCGCTAGCTTCAATGCATCGTCAGTACCATAATCTTTTCCATTTCCATTAATGAGAGGGGTTTTCTCATCGGTACTGGAGAAATTGAGATTTGGGGAATGGGCTCGCGTCCGTTTTTCGTACTCTAAAGGACATTTGCGCTAACTTATAGCTTTACGTTACGTTAAAGTAAACCTTTAATAGACTTATTCCATTCATTCTCCCATTCTGCGTTGAGATTCTCAGCTTGCAAGCCTTCATCTAACTCATATAAACTTTCAATCTATAACCAAGATGGTGTTACGAGCTTTAATGAAAGAGAGCTCAAAAGTAATTGCACGTCTACCTCCAATGAGTTTTTGGATGCCTTTGATATGACTGGGCCAAACCACCAAAGAATTTGTCGGTTTGGAAATGATGCTGAAGTTTCCGGATGAGTTTTAGTATATTCGAAATGCTGAACAGAAGTTGAAGTAGTACAAATAAGAAGCACCCAATGCTGGTTTCTGCTTTGTATAGTAAGTCTTACCTTAGTGTTACAGAGCTGTGATGGATCAGAAAAACAGTTGAGTATAAGTTGCAGTATCAGCAGAGGATAAAATGCCAGGTAGCAGACATATTGGATGAAATCCAGCTGTGCAACTAACTATAAATATTTGTATCAAGGTATAGTTTTCTGTAGCACTTCATGCTTCTGGGTCAAGCAAGTTGATAACGGTACTATAGGGCTTGGCGATCAAAGTCAAAATTCTCACTGAAACTTAGCCCATGGGAGCAACCTTCGTTATTTATCAGGTTGTGCATAAGACTAGAGTGAGTATTTACGCAGAAATAGCCCCTAGAGAAGAAAGCTCAGGAGCGAGTTTAATTCAACAACCTGCTTCCAAAAGATGAAGAAGGACTCTTCGCGATCGCCAAATATCTCTATATATTCTGCGTATGCGCAGCCGTTCTCGAGTCTGCTGGTCGACTATCAGGTGCCTATACCCTGTGGCAGCGCATCAGTCCTGTTTTAGGCTTGTTAGCAGCCGCTGATAATGTCGTCCTAGGCCTGATGTATTCAACAATGAGTCGAGGTGTCTTGGCATCTTGTCGACGAAGTAGTACCAAGAGCAATTGCTCGCTTTTCTCTCTTTTCCAAAAAGCCATGGGTATCGAAGGACGATGCATAACGCAAGTTTTGTCAATTTTCTCAAGATGTCGGAAGCCACCAATCACTGGGCTGCATCTTCTGAAGTACTCACAAAGTCTTGGAAATGCTCTTCCCATTGGGCGATGTTGGTGAGGACGCAGATTGTGTTTTCGATACTATGGCTTCAGCCCCAAGCAGCCGTACAAAGATAGCGATGATGACACATGCCGAAACACCCACTGTTGGAGAGGATGTACGTCAAGTTTTCAACTTTTCTATAAACAAACTTTTCTTTTTCTCCCAAGTGCTTCAGGGGTGGACTGTGACCTCGCTATACCTTAAACAACAGACACGATGACTACATACCCCAGACCGTATATAGTCCTTTACTATTATTTGTTTCTTGCTCATATTGTGACCGGGCGGATAAATGGCGGTACGTTGCAACCCAGCTGAGGGGGTGTATGCCAAGATGAACGATAGCTGGAAATAAGCATACTGTATTCGTGCGGTTGTCAATATACCGCACCTAAAGTCTTATTTTTTGAAGTGATATGTTCTCCACTGGGTTGAAAATGGTGTCGAACAGTAAAAATAAAGCGGTACCGAGCTCCCTGCGTTTTTTCCAAAATTTTAAATATCATCATAGCGTAAATATAGAACCTAGAAAATATTTGACCTACACAACGCAAATGGCTGGCACAATCTATCGTTCATGTTGGCAGAGACGTTCTCGGCCGTTGGCCGTTCTCCAGCTGAGGCGGAGACTGGATCGGTGGGCGCCCGCCTCGCAACGGTTCGCACCATTCTGGACCTACAGTTCATACAGTCCTCGGAACCTATGTCTGCGTCTCCTCACTCTCTACCTCTAAGTTACAAAATGCTGGCAAAGTGCGCTCGCTCAGCTCCAGGAAGCGGTCCTGCTCCGTATAAAATGCTTCTGCCTACATCGGTGAGGTACTACAGCACCGGTCACAAACTGAGCAAAAATCTTATGTAACGCAGTTGAAATATGGTCGTGGAGCGCACAATTCATTTGCATACTCAAGTTGGCGACAGCGCTGACTTGGTATACCGTCAAATTCTACTAGAGTGTGACTCGTATCGGTGTGGGAGTTTCTGTACTGCAGCAGAGGCACTTAAAGGCCTCAAAGAGTTATGTGCAAAGATTTATAGACATCATCTATTTTTGGCAGAAAGCTGGACTTTGGGAAGCAACCTTACTGATAAGAATCGCTCACTTTACTTATCGTGCTGATTGAATGACAGCAACCTCAACTTCGAAAAAGTTGCAGTGCACAAGATTACCTATTGCTTTTCACTATTGTTTTATACAAGACACCTTGTGCGTACCATAGATTGTAAGAGAATAAACAGAGATAAGAATCTACCAACGCTAGGGTTCGTCCCAAGCGTAATCCAAGCATAAAACTCAGGAGCACCACAGATGACGAATACGAGCCATACGCAGAATATGGCTCCTGGATTAGAGAGACCGGCTCGTCGAGATTCATTCATAAGTATCATCACCAGAAGCTGAAAAACAGTTGGAATAATCCACAAACTAGTGTATATCAATCATTTGGCTTTTATACGCAGTTCAACAAAATGGATCCCGCCTGGCAACAGCTGGCACGGGGCAAGCTGGATATCGTTTTTGGGGCAAAAAGCAAAGGGGGTTTCGTTTTTGTGGGCGAAGATATACGCAAAATTGGTTACGGCGATCTTTTTTTAGTCGACGTTTCGTTTTTGGGTTTTTTAAGGATTTTAGAGGAGATATCGTTGAGGATCAAAGGGGACTTCGTAAAAATTCCCAAAAGTCAAGGGGGACTTCGTTTTGAAAATTTCCTGGTGCCAGCTCGTGCCGAGCCCTGATCCCGTCAGGTTTTGGGTGTTAGGCATCTAAACGACCATCAGCCCCGCTCACTTCCACTGCGTCAGTCGAGCTTTCGAAACGTTTTTAGGACTTAAGCCCGTATGCAGCGTACATCCCCGCTGGAGAGGGAAGGGGATCTGAGAGGTGATGTCATATCTCGCTACTCTACGTCCTTTCTTCTTCTTTCTCTATCTTGCTTATAAAGGTTCTCATACATTCAAGATTCTTCGGATCAAGTTAAAGCGCGACAACCAAGCTCAACCCTGCGATACTCTAAGTAGAAGGACTTTACCGATGATACCATTTCCATCTTCCTTCTATAAAGAACCTGAACCTTGTATTATTGCGGATACCAAGTTTCGAATACTCGCGCTTAGCATCTTAAATGTTCTCAATGATAACAGAGGTACCAAAAGATCTAACTTGACACAAGCGCAACAGCAGGGCTTCAGAGAGATGAGAGAGCTGACCACCAACGGCACCATACGCCTCTCAGTCAGTGACAAAGGAGGGGAGTTCGTAGTTATGCCGCAGACCCTAGACCGAGAGATTACCGAACATCACTTGTCAGATAATACTGTCTATCAACCAGCGACTGAAAGAGAGTTTTTATCACAATGCAAGAGGTTGAATCATATCTGGACGACGGTAGGGAAAGAAGCTGGTCTTCCTGAAAGATTCCTTAGCAGGCTCAAGATTGAAACCCCAGCGTGCCCTGTATTTTATAGCCTAATCAAGACACACAAGCTCTCTACAGTTGACATGCAATCCGTCACCGCCGCTTCTTACCAGATACGCCCATCATTAGCTGCGTCAATGGCCCAACCGACCGCATATCATGGTTCCTTAATAAAATTGTGAGCCAACTTCTAAACAAAGTACCTGCCCACCCAACACCAATCATTTCCTTGAGCTTCTGCGCCAGACAAATTTCAGTCAAAACTGCGCAGTGGAGTCGTTTGACGTAACTTCATTGTATACCAATGTATCCAATAAAGACGCATTGCAATCGCTTTCTGTGATGCTGGAGATACATAGTAAAACTATGATAACATAAACTCTCAGTAAAGCACGCATCATAACACTCATCAAGGAATGCTTGCGTTGCAATATATTCAAGTGGTCAGGACGATACTATACACAAGTTAGAGGTTTGGCAATGGGTCAACGATTGGCACCCGTCCTAGCGATCTGCTTCATGAGCAGAATTGAACAGCCTGTGCTATCGAGAACCCCGCTTATGTACTGTCGTTATATCGACGATTGTTGTGTAGTCACTTCAATTCAGTCCGAGATGGACGAGTGCTTCAAAATTTTGAACCAACAATCACAGTTCATAAGCTTCACACAAGAAAAGCCATGCAACGGTTGGCTACCATTTTTGAATACGCAGCTGATGGTGGTGAATGGGACGGTGCAAGTCAAGTGGTACCGAAAAGAGAGCAACAAGAATATTCTTCTGCACGCACAATCTGCACATCCTACAGCCGTGAAACGCGCCATGATTCGAAATATGTTCAGAACGGTAGTAGGCATCTGCAGCGGCGAAAAAGAAAAACAAGAATCACTAAAGTTGGCAACTGGAATAATGATTGCAAACGGTTATAATATGCGAGCTGACCGTACAACGAAAGTGTCAAAGGCGAGTGGACAGAACGTAAACAAAATACCTCTGTGCCTTCCTTTCATTTCCGAAAGGGTCAGTGCTGCAATAAGACAATGTTTGATACGAGCGCAGTTGGATAACGAAGTTGTCTTGGTGAATATCCCCCGAGATAACATCAAAAGACAACTAGTCCGTAATAGAATGTATGACAATGCTTGCATCATACGAAATTGCGTGATATGCCCTCACGGAAAAGATGGAGATTGTTCGAAATCTGGCGTCGTGTATCAAATAGAATGTTTAGCATGCTCTGCCATCTACATTGGTGAGACGGGTAGGCCATTGTGCGTGCGCGTAAACGAGCATTTGGCTAGTAAAAAGCGGCAAAGCGTAATGAATCCGCTAGGAAAGCATAGAAAGGTAGATCATAACGGTAATGACTTCGACATCAAGTGCATAATCTTGGCCTACGAAAATCAAATATCCGCGAAAAAGGCCCTTGAGGCGTCCTACATTCTTGTCCGCGACCCCCAGATCAACAACAAGAATGAACAATTATCTATAACTGGAGATCTGATGCCGTATCTAACATATTGCAAACTATAAGATCGTCTACCCTATTTAAGCAGTCCGTTGACATCACGACTGCTCATTCGCGACACAGCAGTCAGTTGACATCACGACTGCATACTCTCAACATCGCAGTTCGTTGAAGCACATCAGAACCAACTGATACTGCTACAAACGGTGACAACTCTGGTGAGTCGTCCTCTACTCGCAGACTCCCTGCTTCCACTCAAGACCATTCGAATGCTCGAGCGGGAGGAGATGTTTGGCGACCAAGATCGTAAATCAATGTGACTGAATACTTTTAGCCTCCGACGACGGCGTTGTGCCGAAACGTTAGGCAATAAACTGTCACCGATAACAACCTTTATGGCAAAAGAAAAATATTGAAATCGGTTCTCATACACTTACAATGCTTCTAACGGGGCCAGCGCCGCGTAGTGCAGTCACATATCGGCCATTCAAAACACGCAAGAATGGGCGCCGTTGCGTCCGACCAAGATCTCGTGCTTGGGAGAGACAGCAGGTGGTAGGGTGGGGGAACGAAAGAGCGCTTGATCAGGGAGACGCCGATAGGTCCGCAGTCTTTGCGTGCAACGGATCGCCTATACCTGATCGCGAGCGCTACCGTCACCGCACGTCCAAGGACCATGCCGCGCAAAGCGGCGTAGTTCTTGTTGTAGCTACTCTTCCTGCTTCTTCCTTAGCTTATTCTCCTGCGTCCGAATTTCTGACCTTCTCCTGTCTGAAACTTTATTTCGTACTTTCTGAGATCTCTCAAAATATCATTACGCGAACGGGAGACAAAATGGACGTTTGAGGTTTTTCAAAGGAGATGTAATCTAATCAATTCATTTGAGATTTCTGAAAAGATTGGTGCCCTTCCTCCTTACCACCTAAGGGCGAATATCGTAAGATGTAATCGTATATCGTGTAGGTTGAGAGAACAGTTTGAGTGAACGCCACGTTGGCGCTGTTCACTCAAACCT